CCCGTACAGATACTTTTCCTTCTGCAACCCGTTCAGCCAAACCGCATACCACTTCACTGTCAATGTGATCCACAGTCCTGAGACAGGTTCACAGCACCATGTCAGCACACAAATGCGTGGTTCATTGGGGAATCTTGTGCCAAATTGCATGTCCGTAATACAAGTCGCGTGACATTGTCTATTGTGTAACATAGCTAAATGCCTGGCAAGCAGCACTTTTTTGCGGTATTTCCGAGGAAGCTCCTGTCTTTCATCAATGCTAGACCTGCGTGGGAGATGGCCCAACCATGCCCAACACGCCCTGTTTTTATAATATGGGAGAACGATGGAAACAAATTTTGCGACTTATCATGAATCATGGTTCTTCGGGTCTTCCTTTTTCACGCCCTGTGCTTCACCTACTGCAGCTGCCAAAGCTCATCATGAGGCCGCCCAGCGGCCAGGTAGCAGGCCGTCGTGGCCACTCCAGCCAAACATCAGAATTTAGAATGCAATTGCATCCCCTTAAGGCTGCATCCCGGGCTCGCAAAGTTTGTCGCGGCCCTTGCAAAGCTCAGGTTTCGAGCCTTCCCAAGCAAATGCTACTAAATAGCTCATGGAAAGCCAGACGTGCCACGTGGCAACAAAAACCCTTTCCATCGCTGATGGCACCTTCGCAACCTTTGTCAACCATATATTTTCGTGCAGGCAATTTTTGTGAGTTTCAAAGCGCTAGCGACCCAAGGTGCACCATTCTCACAACTATGGCCAAAAGCGATCTCAGGCAGCTGCATTAGCCTTAGCCTTTGCCTTGGCTTTGCTACCCGGCTTCTTGTTCTGCTGCCGGGCAATGGCATTTCCAGCTGCAAATGGCTTGTCAAACGCCTTCTGAAGGGCAATGAAATCTCTCACATGGGGAATGTAGTCATCCTCCTGCATGAAATCATCCCAACTGGGATTCAACACATTGGCAATCATGTTAACATCTTGATGGGGGCCGTAGCCCCATTTAACATGTATTACGGAGGCCGTAGCCCTATGTAACATGAATTCTTCATGATATGTCCGGGATTGAGGCAAGGATCAATGACGGCTGCAAATCCCCATGAAAAACAAAGATAGAAACATGTGCATACACAATTCAAAAGTCTGTCCTCGTTCTTCTGTTGGTTCACACTGGCTTGGATCTGCAGGTACAAGTCCCTGCAGCCATCCATTGTCAAGCTCACGCAATCACACATGAGTCACATAATATACAACCATTCGATTCAGGATCACGTCCGTGCAAGTTCAACACTACAGGATGGACAAGACTAAAACAAATCTTTTAAAGACTGCCAGGCAACTCGAACTTCTTCGCGTAGCTGTTCATCTCATTGCTGAGCGCTTCAGCGAAAGGAATGGACTGCAACGTCAGCCCCAAATTGCTGGCATCACTCTTCTTCTTCAAGAGCTTTTGGCACATGTCACGAGCCTTCTGCAAAGGTGTCAGAGGAACTTGCTCCTGAGCCTTCCTAGGCTTCTTCTTGGCTGGCTCAGCGGCCTCACCGCCAGGGTGAGGGGTCCCAGGCGAGGACGACGGTGTGCCCGGATTTGGAGTACCCACCGATGTGGGCGATGAGGTTTCCTTGACCGGTGGCTTTGGAGGAGGCATCGTCCTCGGACATTTGCAAATCCACGGAATCCATGTGGAAAAAATGCAACCACCATTCATACACAAAGCAAAACAATTCCATTAATGTGGCTGATGTACAGAAGGTCTCCAACCGCTGCAGCATTCTCTGGGGTGACTTGCACTGAACTGGTCGAGACCACGGTGCCTCACTGTTGACAATGGCTCCATGGATGGGCAAACACATGAATCATGAATATATATATATATCTATATAATATGTAAATTCTTTCATACACATGTATAATATATATATCTCTCTCTCTCTCTCTCCCTCTCTTTCTAACAACTTAAATATAGTAGACATAATATATATATATATATATCCACATTGCACGTTTTCAGTTTCACGATGTCAAGGCTTAAATGCTTTCACCAAAACCTTTTTCCCCCACCAAGTCTGGACAAGTTCAAGCCAGCTACCCGATCTGTTGTAGTTCTCAGCCTCATCTTCCTTCTGAGATATCAAGTAGACGAATCCTCCGGGATTGTTTTCGTCGTCCTCGACCATGCCGATGGCTTCCTTGTGCTTCATGACGCCAGCAGCGTCGTCACCGTACATGTCATTCATTTGCTTCTTTGTGTAGCGCAAAGCTTTCTTCCTGTTAATCTGCAGCTTACCTGTCTCTTCCTGCACGACCAACTTTGCGTTGACCTGTTCCAAGCTGCCACCCTGCTCGCAAAGCATCGAGATGAGCTCAGACTTGCGGGAACCATCAAAAACCAACTTCTTGAGGTCCGGCAAACCTTCCAAGCGTGCTGGGTTGTTCTGCAGTCTGCTAATCAGGTTTGCTGCTGCTCGACGGGAATACTCTTGCTGCTCTTTCGTTTTTTCTGCAGGTGCAGGCACTTGGACAATCTGCACGGGAGGTACTTTGATTGCTGGCTGGTTGAACTGGTGCGCTTTGTGCGTCTGAGGCTGAGGGCCAGCAGGAGCACTTTGAGGCTTCTGAGATTCAGAGCCCGGCTTGGTGCCGTCATTCTCTGAAAAGACCTGGCTCTTACCCCGCTGCAAATCTCTAGCTTCAACTTGGGTTGGAGAAGCCATGGGAGAAGTTTGAGGGGAAGCCTGGGGCCGACAAGTCTTGTCCACTTTCCAACCCATGGCTGCTAACTCAGCATCACCAATCTCAGGTTTGGTAGGTCGGGGAACTGCTGCAAGGGCCAAAGCAGGTTGAACTTCTGCTCCTTGCTTCGGGGATGAAGCAGGTTGAACTTCTGCTGCTTGCCTTGGGGGCGGAGGCACACTCTGTTGAGCAACTTCCAAAGCTTGGGCAGGTTGACCTTGAACTTCTGGAGATTGCTTTGGCGTCGCAAGTGATTGACCTTTGACATCTGCAGGAACCAAAGGCTGCTGCGGCGGCGCAGCAGGTTCACCTTGCACTTTCAAAGGCTGCTGCGGCACAGCTTGGGCAGGTTGTTGGTCAGGTTGCCCTACTGCAGGGACCAAGGGTTCTTTGGGTGGCACAGGTTGGGCAGGTTGACCTTGGACTTCCAAAGGCTGCTCTCGTGGCACAGGTTGGGCAGGTTGAGTCACAACTGTTCGAGGTTCTGCTGGCGCCACTGGTGCCATAGGGATCACAAGCTGGCCAGACTTCAGTAATTCCTGAATCATGTCTGGGGTCAACTGCACAGGGGCTGCGGGCAAAACCTGTGGGGTCACAGGCTGCTGCGGCGGAGGAAATGCAGGTGCCACTGGTTCTGCTCCTCCAACATGCTCAGCATCCACGTCCATGTTGGCCGGCAACGTTTCCAAAGTAGACACATCTACCTCGGGGCTGCTGTGTGTAAAATGGTTCAGCCTATATCACAGAAGGCATTCAAACACATTACATGCACTGCACTTTCATTCTTTAAATTGGGTCTGGGCACCCCTTTGAGCAATATGAAAGATTTAAAGATTTTTTTGCCCCCAGCCTGTGTATCGCCAGCAGTGGCCATGCTTGGTTGGGTGTCGCTAGGGGGCAACGCAGCCAAAGGCATGGAGAGGTTCACCCGATGCCTTGGCGGCACTCGCAGAAAGAACAAGGCACATGAATCATGACGAACTTGGCTGACAGCATTTTTTGATATGCCATCAAGACACAAAAACAACGTGAACCACCCCACACCCCACCTGCTTTTCAAAAGGCTCTCAAAACAAGTGATCTATAGTATGCACTTCACATGGAACACTGGATCACGTGAAAGTTTGGGAATGGCTGTGTGAAAGCTGGGAACCAGACCCTGCAACATGCATATGGACATCAGGAACGTTCGAAGGGGCTGGCAACACAGCGCCTGCACAGAAGGAAAACAGATTAGATATATATATATATAGGTTTAAAATGATGACTTGGGACATATACCAATCTGAATAAAATACTGGTCTGGGAACATCATTTTGACCATTGAACATACATGACATGTGTGACACGGAACACTTCAAAACAAAACATCATGACAACATAACATAGAGGCCTTGGCCCCTTTGAACCCCGTGTAACATGATTTCACCATGATCATGTCATTCGATCATACTATGGTGGCTGGCCTGGAGCTGCCGCCTCCATGGCTTGAAGCGCAGGCCGAACAATCCCAACCATGTACGGGTCGGTAGGTGGCACAACAGGAACTTCTTCTTCCTTAATTGCCATTCCAACACCTATGCCAACCAACAGCTTGGGAGCAAAATGCTTCGATCTGAAGCGAAAAATTCTGGACCATGCATCAAACCACGGAAACAAAAAAATATTTCCTATCAAACAATTTTGGATTTGTTTCGACATGTTGGAAGTCCCAAAGGGGTCACAGGTGTTTCTCCCAGGTCACGGGTGGTCACGGGTGGTCACGGGTGGTCACGGGTCGGTTCCTGCATAAGTAGTATTGGGTGTTTCTCCCAGGTCACGGGTGGTCACGGGTGGTCACGGGTGGTCACGGGTGGTCACGGGTGGTCACGGGTCGGTTCCTGCATAAGTAGTATTGGGTGTTTCTCCCAGGTCACGGGTGGTCACGGGTGGTCACGGGTTTTTTGTTGAAAGAAAAACGAACAAAATTGAACAGTTTGTTTGATAGATTATTGACATGCAGATTGCGCAGGATAACATCACAGCATCAAAGCCCATGAACATAATCGCATTTTGTGAACCATTGTTTTCCAACAACATTTTATTTGAGGGAGTCAAACCGAAAACAAAACAAGGGTAATTCACAACCATCATGAATGACATGTGTGACATTAAACTTTCAAACCACAACATCATGGTAACCAAACATTGTGGAGGCCGTAGCCCCATGCATTGTGGAGACCGAAGCCCCATGTAACATGACTTCATCATGATCATGTCCCTCCCCCTTGGCTGAAACACCCTTTTCCCACAAATTGGCACTTGCAATGCTGATCTCATTAAAGATTGTAAAGGCAGCAAGCTCCTAATAATTTCCACGCCATGCATTTCGAAGCTCCTGCAATGCCTCCACCAAATGGCCCTCGTCGAAGTTGAAGTGCTGAAGAGTAGAGTAGGTTGCAATGTGCTCCTGTCTTTTATCGAGAAAACCCCACACACTTGCCTTCACTAAAACTCTGGACACCTGCACCTCTAGACCTATTGCAATCGGCTTGGAGGGACAGTCCTTCATTGTGTCCAAAGACACATTGGAGCTTTGCAGAAGGCACCATCGCCGCCTTTCCCTCCTGCATATGCACGGGAATGCACGGGAGAATGTCTTAAAAAAAAGGTATGTGAAAATCCAACTGTTATGTCAGGAAGGTTCTTCAATCCAGCTCTTTGAAAAACCAAGAAGTTGCAAGTTTCATCAAAAATAGTTTTCAGTTAGTTCTTTTCAAGTTGGAGCCCAGCCCATAAAACCATACAGTCCCTGTCGATGTTGGACCATGCGAAGCCCACCATGAAGCCAATGCCCTGCCAAATTCTGGAGTGTAGAGCTGCGTCTGCTTCAGCCCAGAACCTCCAGCCACTTTTTTACGTCCACGGGCATCCTCATACCTGGGCCGTAGATGTTGCCCTTAAAACATCCCAGCATTGCGGAAACACCTCTACAAAACTCCCACCGCACATTTCTGAAACCATGACACTGATATGTCGTAGGAGCTTGAGGTTTGGGTCGTTTGTGTTTGGGCGGCACGTTCATGTTCATCAGGGGGTCAAAGGATTCCGTGGAATACAAAGCAGTAGGCTTTAAAGTGGCTGCATTGAAGGCTGCCATGTTGACATGGTTAAGCTTGAGCCTCTGCCCAATCCAACCTGAACATTCAGCTTCATCGAAGTAGGCCACGACTGATTGCCACGAAGGCAATGCAGTCATCACTGACCGAAGAGGTTGCTCCAGAACAGGAAAGGCGCCCATAGCCCAAGCCAAAAGGGCAAGCACCGCAGATCTGGCAGCGAGCACGTTGCCAAGCTCCATGTATGGGAAATGCTGCCAACCCATTGGAAAAGCTATCGATCTCCGGTGGGTTCCACTGTTCATGAAATTGAAGCTCGTGCAAACAGTCCCCAAATGGCAAACGCCACCACAAGTCATCGACAGCAAGACCACTACTGAAGCGATTAGCCCATTTGTGGATGTCAAATCATGTGTCTCGCTTCCTCGGGTTGCACTGCATGCATTGGCCTTTGTTTAACATATCGCGGTACAGCAAACATCATGACTGTTTGTGGTTTTGTCTTTGAACTTTTGACAGCCAAGTTTCGAAGAAGGTCGAAGGCAAGGGCAGCAAAGCCAAGCTCTGTGAAGGCTTTGGCAATTTGAGACGACCTGTCTGAGCCAGCAAAGAATTCAACACACCGCAGATCTTGTGGAACTTCAAAATCCATAGCTCGTCTGGCAATCATTGCGTGGATGACAAGCTCCACTAGAACCCATGGCATGTCCAGCTTCACGAAGCCATAAACATCACGCAACTCCTGCGTTGACAACGTGGCCAGCATGGCATAAAGCAGGCCAACTTGGATCATCGCCATGGCTGTGGGGCGCTGAAATCGAAAACCCAAAGGATGTCACATACTTTGTTTTGGACACGGGCTCATTCAAGATATCTCATGAACCACTATCACGTTTTGGCTTGTTGTAGTGTGCATTGGTATAATGTCGACAAAGTGCAAAAAAAATGTCTCCGTACAAGTCATAACCGTTTGTCTCTGCACACTTTGAGCATGTTTCTGCGATAGCGCCATCTCACAAACAAAAACTTTCCACGCCATCAACTAATGTCTATTGCTGGCAAGGACTAAGGGGCAGCGCCTGCAATTGAAACTCGATTCTGTTGGCTGGGCCGCCGCAAGCCGTCCTGCAAAAATTGCAAGTCTTTGGGGAAACAATCCAGGCACACCACGACCAGTGATGATGCGGTGCACTGCCACAAAATCATTTTTTCACCTGTGCCCGAGCCAAGCTCCAAACGGTTTCAGAAGACCTTAGGCCTTTATCGTGTGAACTTCCTAGGATCCTTTCAAGTCATTCAGTTCCTGGATGACAGACTCTAGGGTCTGTTTGCCTTCATTGAGTTGACGAACCATCTTCCCCACAAGGTTCTCACAGTCTGGATTGGCGTTGCTGCTTAACTGAGCAACTTGCTTTCCAGTTGAGTTGCAATGAATCGCTGCAACCATGATTTCTCCAGACTGCCCCTTGCGTTTGTGTTTTTTCATGAGAAACTTTGGCTTATCTCCGTGTGTGCTCTTTGCTTTCTTCTTGGGCTGCGACTTGGCGGCAGGTTGCTTCAGGTCGGCCTGCAATCGTTTCTGTCCTTGGTGTTTCGTGGCATACGCCACCAGGACGACAAAATAGTTCCAGCATGTGCTAAGGTCAAAACCGGTGGGATGGGCTGTAGCGATGTCCTTTGAGTCGAGTTCTTTGTGGACTTCCTGCGCAAAGCATCCTACTGTGGTCAGCACAAACTATAAATTAACCTCATGCGTCCTCCACAAAAGCAGGTTCCGGAGTGAGCGCAGCTGCTTTCATCGCATCATTGACGTCAGGGCGAGGGCCCACCTAAGGTGAAATGTCCAACAAAACAAATCCTAGGCTGCGAGTGCCCTTTGTGTTTTCATTTTGTTTTGTTCAGCATTGGTGGCGCACTCAAGGTTCGAACTGCTGCTTCTTTGTCATCTGCATCTGCCAAGTTGTCACCTCAAAAAAAAACATTGTGAAGCGAAAGTAAATCAACATGCTTACCTCTGCTGCAAACAAACTCACCTGACGCGTGCAGCCAATGGTTATACCCAACAAAAAGCTGAGCATGCTAAATTCTTTTGGGAAAGATATCGGTAGAATTTGTCACAAAAGCCATGTCGAATTTAAGAGCCAAGCCAGGCGGGTCGTCCAAAATCTCAATGAATTTTCCCTCGAGGTCTTTCAAAATTTTCTGCCGACTCTGCTGAGCAGATGGCATGTCCTGCAACCACTGATCGATGGCAATGCATAATTTCCCACTCAAGGACTCAAGGACTTGAATGTTTTTTTGGGATTCACAGTTTCAATTTATGTTCGCTGTCCTTGTCTTCTCTTTTTCCCTTTTCTTCATCTTGGTCAATCCCCAGCCCGGCCGCTGGTGAGGGAGGCCTTGTGTCTTTCCGGCACGGAGACTTCTGAGCTTGGATACCTGCTGAATCCTGAGCGAAATCGGTTTAGTTCTCTGTTGCTACATCAATATATCGTCTGGGAAGGCCAGAAACTTTTTTTAATGGGTGTGAAAATCTTGGGCTTTGGTCTGAAAAACGAAAAAGGGCAGTCACAAAAAATGCTCAGAGACTTAACGAGGGTCGATACCCCATGACTTTCCGACATCGTCATCAAGAAATGGCTTCATGGTTTCAAACAAATCGAGCATTCCAGGCTGCCCATGAACCCACGCAGGCCAACCTTTCTCTCCTTTCATGCTTTCACGTGACTTCCTCCAAGTCTTCCTGGTAAACCTGAATTGAATGAACAGCATGTGCACTTGAGCGCGTTAACGGTTTGAATGTTGAGACATCTTCGACACCATTGATCAAAAAACGTGCTAGTTGGAACTTCAAGCATTTTCAAAGTTTTACTTTAGAAAAACATGCTCTGGGCAGGTGAGGAACTGCATCAACGCTTTCAGGTCGTAAACGAGCAACCAAATTAAACCATCAGGTAGCTGGTCCTCTTTCCCCACCACTCTGCGCAAGACAGCAAACAGACTGTCGTTGTGAACAGGCATTGCAGGTGCCACCAGTGCAAGGGGCTTCAGGGCCCACACATGCTCGCAAATGAGTTCCTTCTGCAAGGACTTGCCTCAAAGCACAAGAACTGAAAGGAAATTGCTGACAACACAGGTCGGAATGCAAAACATGAAGTGTTTTCATTACGCATCCCTAACCGTGTCCATTAGTTGAGGCACTTTTGGTGGCATACTCATTGAATGTTTTCTCTGGTGCTGCTCCCATTGCCCCTTTGACAGTCTCAGGAATGCTCACGTTGATGTAGCCACAAACTTCATCAACTTGTTCCTTGTTTAAAACCAATTCGACGGATCCCTTTGCGCGGCCCATGGCAGCACATGTATGCTTTCTTTTCTTGGGCTAAGATTCTGCGAGGTCATTTGACATGAGGTAGTGTCATTTGGGCTGTGGAGGAAGGCTCACAAATGCATGCATCATATCATATACCATTCTGTGGAACAAAAGCCCATGTCCTTGGAGCAAGATTCGCCGCCGCTTCATTGTAGATGAAAACTATATGCAACTCCTGTCGGCAAAACTCATGTCACTGCAAGAAAAGCGCGATCAGCAAAAGACAGTCAGGTCCAGGAGTTTTGCAACGCAATGGTTCAGTGAATTTCCTGGAGATTTGTTTCGATGCACATGACCCCCTATAGAAAAACAACATCAAAAATGCACCTCGAGCGCGCAAGAAGTCTGCCTGGCATGCATCTGATTTACAGGTGCACCCTAATGAACGCCATCCATGACCATGCATGACAATGAACGTTGGTTCAAACATATGCAAACCACAAGACTATGTGCATGTTAATCATGTGTCAACATCTTGATGGAGGCCGTAGCCCCATTTAACATGATGGAGGCCATAGCTCCATGACATGAAGTCATCAAGATCATGTCCATGGTTGAGAAACCTTTTTTTTTGCCAAAGCAAAGCGGCGCGATGTTTTCCATCATGGCACTGCATTGAAAAGAAACTACGTACGGCGCTTTTTCAAAGCCGGTGCATCGCAATCTGCAGGCTGAACATCATCATCGTCCCATGGAAATTCCAAATCTGGAACTTCTGTTGCCACATAGTCGGATTCCGGAAGGACGGTTGTTGCCTCTTCCAGCATTGTGCCACCATCATCTGCAGGGTCTTCCAAGTGGTCAATGGCATCCATGGGCAATAAAGTTTGCATGTCAGCCCCATCTTCTGAACACTCTTGATCTTCTGGAACATGGGTCACAGTCCGTACTGAGAAGGCCCCAATGGGAACTCTGTCGGTTCCAAAGTTCTTCTGCAAGGTTCCAATTGGAAACTTTGAGCTGCCAAGCTTCTGGTTGAATATCTGGGAGACCGAATCCGTGTTCACATGGGTAACTACGTCCTGCGGGACAACCATGTGCATGACTGGTCCAACAGTCAGAGTCTAAGATGAGCAAATTGAATGAACAATAGTGAGCACATGTGTTTTTTTGATGCCAAGTCCTTTTTCAGGGTTTCCATTTGCTTGAGGCTTCGTTTGGCAGCTTTCGCATAGTTGCGCGCCACCCTCTGAGCTTCCATGGCATCTGCACGCATCTGCACTGACAAAGCCATCATCTGCGATGCTTTCATCATCTCATCCTACGCAAAGCCCGTGCAAACCCACATGCACAAAATTGACATGAATCTGAAAGCATTACAGTAAAACAAAACACTCCGGCAAACAGACACGATTTGCCCCGATGTGCAGCACTTAAGCCTGAGAAAAAAATGTCCCTACACAACATATCCAACGACCCCCATGCCTCATAGCAAGCATCATGCCGGTGAGGTCTGCTCGAACTGGCCTAAGCACAGGAAGATTTTCTGCACATTTGCATGACCCCGCAAAGCGATGTAGAAAGCAATGCAACCAAAAAATGGCCATAGACATCCATAGACAAGGAACTGGTGCAGCAGCAGGTGGCTTATTGATGCCGAGCTTGACCCATGGAGGAGGCTCTTCAGGTTCGGAGGGGCGATAACGCGTCCTCCTTTGACCCGGTGGAACCACTCATGGCATTCGCTTGGACTGGGCGTGCCTTAGGTTGGATTGGACGCGCCTTGGGTTGGATCGGGCGCGGTTTGGGCAAAGGCATTCTTGAAAATGAATGCAAAAACTGCGGGAGCTGACATGCAACGCGCTCTGACATGTATATACATCCATGATCATCCAAGCCACTGTTGTTTGTAGGTCATTTGTTCGAAAAAAAATCTAAAGATCAATCATGCCAGTAGGGCATCTTACAGCTGCAGCATTTGCTCTGCATCCATGCAGGTGATTTAAGGAGCTCCGCATTCATGCACCGCACAACTGTTACATCCTGGCATTGACTCAAGGCTGCAGTAGATACATACAAACAAGACCAAAACTTGACAACCGGAATAAGAGGTTAAAGTCCTGCAGGCGAGGGCCATGCTGCACCATCACGCAGTGATGCAGAAACATGCATGAAAATTGTTCTATTCATCCACATGGATTCACGCAATGGATGTTTTGCAAAAAGTGGCCGCTTCCGTCAATTCTGTTGTCTTTTTAAGGTTGCATGTGTCACGAACCCTGCTTTGTGAGCCGTGGAAAAAGGCAACGCATGATATGTGAAGTTTCCGTGCTGCTCCATGACTTCATGTGACATGAGGAAAAAATGTTCTTTACACATGCATGAATATACGAGGCCGGGAGCCCCATTTTCAAAACATGAGTGCCAGATTGAAACTCCTAGTCATGAAATTCATAGATAAATTCATGCGTAACAAAACACAAATGGGAAAACATGATCCCCAGGAAAAAAATGCGCATACTGTAAAAAGTAATATATACACATATATAAATGAATTTGTCTCAAAAGTATAGAGGTCGCACTGTGGGTGCCCGACAGTCTTCTTTAACACTAAGACCCTTCATATTTTCGGGCACCCCAAGATGTATATGGGACGGGATCTATGTGTAGACTGCGGGCGTTTCCACACCGGAAGGAAACACCCGAAGGCGTTTCCAAAGGGAGGGTGGGATGGGTTGACTATGCAAAGGGCGTTTCTCTTGAACAAGAAACATCCTTGGGCGTTTCTCTTTAGGAAGAAACACCCTGGGCGTAAAACATACACCCAAACCTCAGGTTGGCACCTCCAGGTGCCTGAGCCTTTCCTGCCTTTCCGTGTGTCTCCAACACATGTCAGTGATGGGGCTGAGACCATCCGCACTTGCGTGGATCTTAAAGCCACCCGAGGCGACAGAGCAAGCTTTCTTCTCCTTCGACTGTGACTCCAGCCACTCATGTCAGCTATGGGTTTTGACCGCAGTCAGTTTGCCCAAGTGGTTAAGGGGGTGGACATAAGATCCACTGCACTCTAGTGCGCATGAGTTCGAACCCCATAGCTGACATGAGTGGCTGGAGTCACAGTGCAAGGAAAAGAAAGCTTGCTCTGTCACCTCGGGTGGCTTTAAGATCCACGCAAGTGCCGATGGTCTCAGCCCCCATCGCTGACATGTGTTGGAGACACACGGAAAGGAAGGAAACGAAAGGAACGCGTGGTCTGCCTGAGCCTTTCCTGCCTTTCCGTGTGTCTCCAACACATGTCAGCGATGGGGTTGAGACCATCTGCACTTGCGTGGATCTTAAAGCCAGCCCAGGCGACGGAGCAAGCTTTCTTTTCCTTGCGCTGTGACTCCAGCCACTCATGTCAGCTCTGGGGTTCAAACCCATGCGCACTTGCGTGCAGTGTGGATCTTAAGTCCACCCCCTTAACCACTTGCGGTTGTGTCACCATCCTTCATCACAGATACATCTCTGCTCCCCAAATTGACCGCGTGCTAGGGATCATCCCCTGACACATCATTGGTGAGTTTGCTAAGGCAGTGGGACACTGTCACATCCACGAGAAGGCTGGGAAGGAATTTTGCTGGAACCCCTTCCAGATCACCCCGGGATGGTCCATCTGTATGTTACTGGCTGACGGGACTCGAGCATACCAAGCAACAGAGTCCAGTGCAAGGAAAAGAAAGCTTGCTCTGTGATCCACGCAAGCCGCTTGGCTGGAGACACACGGAAAGGAAGGAAACGAAAGGAACGCATGGTCTGCCTGAGCGTCACGCCTTTTCTTGAATCCTTTTTTTTGCGGCGCAGCACTCCAAACTTCACCGATCAGGCGTGACGCTCAGGCAGACCACGCGTTCCTTTCGTTTCCTTCCTTTCCGTGTGTCTCCAGCACATGTCAGTGATGGGGCTGAGACCATCCGCGCTTGCATGGATCTGAACCCATGCGCACTTGCGTGCAGTGGATCTTAAGTCCACCCCCTTAACCACTCGGGCAAACTGACTGCTGCCGGCGAGCAGCCACTGCTGGTCCAGACTGGGAAGTTTTGAGTGTTGGGCCGCAAAAAAAAAGGCGTGACGCTCAGGCAGACCACGCGTTCCTTTCGTTTCCTTCCTTTCCGTGTGTCTCCAACACATGTCAGTGATGGGGCTGAGACCATCCGCACTTGCGTGGATCTCAAAGCCACCCCAGGCGACAGAGCAAGCTTTCTTCTCCTTCCACTGTGACTCCAGCCACTCATGTCAGCTATGGGGTTCGAACCCATGCGCACTTGCGTGCAGTGGATCTTAAGTCCACCCCCTTAACCACTCGGGCAAACTGACTGCTGCCGGAAAGTAGCCATTGCTGGTCACACTGGGAGATCGGTGAAGTTTTGAGTGCTGGGCCGCAAAAAAAAGGTTCCAAGAAAAGGCATGACACTCAGGCAAACCACGCGTTCCTTTCGTTTCCTTCCTTTCCGTGTGTCTCCAACACATGTCAGTGATGGGGCTGAGACCATCCGCACTTGCGTGGATCTTAAAGCAACCCCAGGCGAGAGAGCAAGCTTTCTTTTTCTTCCGGTGGACTCCAGCCACTCATGTCAGCTATGGGTTTTGAACGCAGTCAGTTTGCCCAAGTGGTTAAGGGGGTGGACATAAGATCCACTGCACTCAAAGTGCGCATGAGTTCGAACCCCATAGCTGACATGAGTGGCTGGAGTCACAGTGCAAGGAAAAGAAAGCTTGCTCTGTCGCCTGGGGTGGCTCTAAGATCCACGCAAGTGCCGATGGTCTCAGCCCCATCGCTGACATGTGTTGGAGACACACGGAAAGGAAGGAAACGAAAGGAACGCGTGGTCTGCCTGAGCCTTTCCTGCCTTTCCGTGTGTCTCCAACACATGTCAGCGATGGGGTTGAGACCATCTGCACTTGCGTGGATCTTAGAGCCAGCCCAGGCGACAGAGCAAGCTTTCTTTTCCTTGCACTACTCAAAACTTCACCGATCAGGCGTGACGCTGAGGCAGACC